CCCCACCCCCACCCCCAGGGGCTAGTACCTTCAGAGGCTTGTTGAAGAGGCAGCTCCCGCCTCCTTCCTGCAGAAACTGGTTGTATTCGTCGATGCTGCAGCGCGAGAACTTGCGGGGCAGGTAGAATCTGGGCAGGGGTAAGGGACGGAGCCGCTGAGTCCAGGCCCACTCTCTCGCCCCTTCTCAAGATTGGGGATGGGATGCATAAGGGTAGTAGGTCACCATCTCGAGGAGCCTGAGGATCTGTGTGTCCGGAGACTGCGTAATAATCCTCCTGCCACCAAGCAGAAGTGGGCAGGGGACGTTGCTCCTGTCTCCCACCCCCCTCCAAACCTCAGGACTCAGCAGTTGGGAGGTTGGAGCGCTAAGGCGGAAAGGTGCCTCCAAATGAGGCTTTGGCGGCACCCAGTGGCGACAGCGCGCACTACAGCCTAGCAGTTTTTGTGTCCAGCTAGGGAATGTGGGTCTCCTGGTACAGGGTCCTCAGAAAACTGAAAACTGAGCTTATTGAAATCCTAAGAGGTCCCAATAGCTGGGCCTCCCGAGGCCACTGGGTCCAGACTACCACCCACTGGGTCCAGATTTTCACTCGCCCAAGACCCTCCCCTAGTTTGTCCCTAAGAACTCACCCAGTGTCCTCCATGATGCAGCCCAGCCAGTTGTCCGGGCATTTGCAGTCCCCTGAGGAGTAAGCCAAGTGGATATAAGGGAGGGTGGAGGACTGCCCCCCTCCCATGGACACTCTCTTTACTTCTAGAGCTGCTGGGAGTGGGTCTAGGCTGGTTGTGGGGCCACATGGGTCTTCATTGATACCTGCTGAGCTCCGGTGTTTATTCCACATCATGCCCAGGTTCTGTCCCAGCGTTTGGGCCAGGGTCACTGCCATGGCCCCCATGTTGTCGTACTTGAGGTGAGGAAGATGGAACACAAAGATGTCTACATCTGTCCAAAGGCACAGGGCTCATGCCCTTCACAGTCCCTGTCTTCAACCCCCATCCCCAGCCATACCCCACACTGCTTACCTCATTCACACCCCCACCCCTGGATAGCGAGCAGATGCCCCCCACGTAGGCGGCCCCACTACTGGTGCTCTGGAAAGTTCTGCCCCTGGAAGGGAGAGGATTGTCAGGAGAACCGCCTGCCTTGCCTATGGTGCCTTCCCTAGGCTGTGAAGGGGAGGCTGGGGAGCCTCCTACACCAGAGCCCTTCTTTGGGGAGGTGAGCACTGCCTTTCCTGTCAGCCTGTGTGACCTCAGGCAAGCCCCTTCCTCTCTCTGTTTGTCCGTAAGTCAAATGAGAGGCTCCTATAAGATCATCTCTAATCATAAGGAGTTTTATCAGATTTTTTTCTTCTTTAGGGCATTGAGTCCTTGAGGAAGGAATGCTGGGACAGTTTGAAAAGAGAAGAGGGGACAAAAGGGAGATGATAGGCAGAGGAAGATCGCTGGGGGGCAGGGAAAACGGGCATCAGCCTAAGATGTAAGGGACATTGTCCAGCCTGTGACAAGTGGCTGGGGGCTGGTGCAAGGCGAGCCCAGTGCCCGGGCCCTGCAAGGGCACCTGACGCAGAGCAGGTGTTCAGCAACCCTGTGCACTGCAGCAACCATGAGAGGCTGACAGGATGTGGGGGCTGCGGGACTCACGAGAAGAGATGGGTGGCATCACTGGGCTCAGGCAGGCCCTCCCGCCGATAGACCATGAGCCGAGCTAAGGTCTCCAGGAGGTCATCCTGCACCTGGATCTTGTCCCCGTCGGCCCACGTTTCCATGGCAACCAGCACGATGCGGGTATTGAGCTGCTCCTTGTACATCTGGGCTCAGGGAGAAGATGAGGGTGGGGCTGGAGGGCAGGAGAGTGTCGGGGGGGGGGG